TTCGGTTTCTTCTATAATTACATAGAGAGTGTGTGGATTATATCCTTTTTGGATGAACTTCTATTTTATATTAGATGCTTGTTGTTGGAACGTAGATAGTTCTGAACAGTTTCTCAACCTTAAAATTTGGCTTTTGGTACACTCTCAAGCCATCATTCCATTTTATACTATTTAGTTTAATTATAAGATCTATTGTGTCTCTCAGGTATGATCTCACTTTTTTGACATATGGTTGTAATATGATGTCTACATACTCTGAAAGATTAGATAGAATAGACCCAATACCAGAGACAATAGGTCTCCCAGGGGGATTAATAATGTCTTTATGTATTTTCGTTAAGAAATAACTAACGGGAGTCTTAGGATATACAATATTGAGATGATCAAATTCTTGTGGGTTTAGGATACTTAATTTTTTTTCCTTTTCCAGAAGTTTACTTAGTTTGATCTTAATATTAGAGATGGGATCTTTATCATTTTTTTTATGTGTTCATATTGTTATCTGTATGCTTCATTTTCATAAAATTCTTTAGATAAAACAACCAAACCACCACCTTTCTCGGCTGGCTTTATTATTATAGTTTCATAATTTTGTAGAGTTTTTATGGATTCTCTCTTATTTCTATTAAAATTATATTTATTAAAAGGTTTTTTCCTATTTAAAGTATCAATATCTTTCAAAACTTTTTTCTCAAAAACCTCTAGAGCGCTAGATTTGAAATATGACAGGTAGAAGGTGGATTTCTTTTTAAGAAAACTCCTTTTTATTTGGATTTGTCCATCTATTTCAGTATTTTCTGTAGTTTCTTTCACATTATCATTGTTTTTACTTAAAAAAAATAACATTTTAAAGTGGCATTTCTCACAAATTTGTTAATATCAATATATGCTAAAAATGGATCAAAAGTTTTAGTAGGGGCAAATATTAGCCCTTTTCTCAGAACATTAAGTTCTGTTTCGCTTAGAGTTCTCTTTGATAAATTAAAAATTCCTGTATTATCTGTACTTTTTAAAATCTGTGGGTTTTTCCAATTATTGGAGTGTTTAGGAGATTTTTTATTGTACTTTTCCGGTGAATAATGCCTACGTGGTGAATATCTTTGCGGTGAATGTCTATCATTTGTGTATCTTGTAGGGTGTTTATCAACTGCTGATATTTTTTATTTGTTAAATAAAGTTTATTCCTGTAAATTTTATTATTTATTTGGTATTTACTTTATACTCCTTCTTTGGTTTCCTGAATTTTACTGCAATTCTGGACCTGCATGTCCCAAGTGAGGATCATACCACTAAAGCTCCATCATACTCGAGCAGGTCCATGCTCGGAAAAATGTGAGTGAGATACCTTTTACTTTTCGTGAAGATACATATAGTACTAAACATATTACACTACTTGATGTTCTTGTCTATGTCTTTTCATATCATAATCTACTAAAGAAGAGCACCATCATCACTGCTGATTGTACCATCACCACTGCTGTATTTACATCCTTACACGGGGATTATACCGTCAACACCTTTAACAGCAGAGCTCTATATAGCTCTTGAAAGTGTGAGTGAGCAGTCAATAGAAATATATTATTCCAGCTTTAATCTATATACTACTCTTAGATTGTTTGTTATCTTTGTCGCTGTTTTTTTAAGATATTCATCTACAAATAAGATTCTGGTGCTTATGTGTATGTATATCCTTTTATTTACATGAGGTTGTACTAAACCATAGGCACGGATTATCTCCTTTTTGCTTGTTTTCTGTTCCTGTATTTTCACCCACCAAACGGCAGGCTATTTTAGCTGCTGTCCGTTCTCAGAGTACTCTTGCGACCCATTTTTTGCTCTCCATTAGTTTAAAGGGTAATCCAGACGTGGACCCCTTGCTCACGGTGCCTAGAGAGATATCAGCTATGCCTCACTGATGATGCCTAACAAGGGTGAAACGATCATCTGGGGTTGCTGTATCTCTTGTGCAGAGAGAGCTTGCTGGCATTTCGGATCTGGACTACCAGTATGGGTGGGACCAGTCTGATATGCTTCAGATATGTTCTCTCTGTAATGGCACAAGATGAGCTAAAACCAGCTTGAGTTCTGAGCGGGGACCCACCGAAAGGCAGGCTATTTTAGCTGCTGTCCGTTCTCAGAGTACTCTTGCGACCCATTTTTTGCTCTCCATTAGTTTAAAGGGTAATCCAGACGTGGTCCCCTTGCTCACGGTGCCTAGAGAGATATCAGCTATGCCTCACTGATGATGCCTAACAAGGCTGAAACGATCGTCTGGGGTTACTGTATCTCTCGTGCAGAGAGAACTTGCTGGCATTTCCGATCTGGACTGCCCGTATGGGTGGGACCAGTCTGATATGCTTCAGATATGTTCTCTCTGTAATGGCACAAGATGAGCTAAAACCAGCTTGAGTTCTGAGCGGGGACCCACCGAAGGGCAGGCTATTTTAGCTGCTGTCCGTTCTCAGAATACTCTTGCGACCCATTTTTTGCTCTCCATTAGTTTAAAGGGTAATCCAGACGTGGACCCCTTGCTCACGGTGCCTAGAGAGATATCAGCTATGCCTCACTGATGATGCCTAACAAGGCTGAAACGATCGTCTGGGGTTGCTGTATCTCTCGTGCAGAGAGAACTTGCTGGCATTTCGGATCTGGACAGCCCGTATGGGTGGGACCAGTCTGATATGCTTCAGATATGTTCTCTCTGTAATGGCACAAGAGGAGCTAAAACCAGCTTGAGTTCTGAGCGGGGACCCACCGAAGGGCAGGCTATTTTAGCTGCTGTCCGTTCTCAGAGTACTCTTGCGACCCATTTTTTGCTCTCCTGTATTTTCACAAGGTTGGTTAAATCTTGTGTGATAATTTGCAGCCCCTATCCATTGTTTAAGATATAGTGAGCACCTATAACATACTTTCTGTATTTTTCTCCTGTAATGTCTCTTGTGAGCTCTGGGAAGTTCAGAGCCCACCAGCTCCATTTGCTGGTTACCACAGCAATGTTTTAATAGGAGTCTGGAGTCCAAACTCCCCCTCCCCCCCCAACACTACAGCCCCTAACTCATAACACATCCTCTACACATTGCATGTCTAGCACAGACACACATATACACACCCTGCATCCCCTCGACATACATACTATATCCACTAAACACATACTACATCCTGCACTATAGGTATGCCAGTGTGAGTTTATTCCTGTGTGTGCCTATCTGTGCCTCTGTCAGCCTATGTGTGCACATGTGTGTTGGTGGTGACCAACCAACACACACGTGGCACCTTTGGAGATGACCACAGAAAAGTATAAATTTGAGGAGGTTTTGGATAGTAAAGTCACTTTAATTATAATTAATGTCACATGATTGCGACTCCTTGTCCCTGCAAAAACAGGTCCCAGGACCTGCTACTCACTATTGTCCCTCTATGATTGTAATGCCAGATGGCAAATGTGATGGACAGCCTCCAGAGGGTGGGCAGCTTTTAAAACCCCAACCAAGCTATCGGCTGCCTGTGCTGTGATGGCCCCCTGTACCACTAGACCACCTGGTGTGGAGGCAGGATTGATGTGACTGGCTAGCTGAGGGGAACTGTTTGGATTCATGGCGTTGATGTGACTGGGCATATAATAGGAATCATCTGTTGTCTGTGACTGATGTGACTGAGGGGGAAACTCTGGCTGCCTTAACTAGGTGTGACTAGGTGCTGAGGTTATGGTTAATTGATTGTGACTGGAGACGATGAGATGAAGTAATCTAATTGGAGCAGAAGTAATAAAGGAATTATGGAGCTTTTGGGGATTGTGGTGCTGGGTAAAGACTATGGCTTTAGAGAAAGATGTCACTATCAGATAATATACTTTGTAAGAGGGTTAGTGCTTTGGGGAGATGGAATTGCCTTGAAATTCTCCACCATACCGTTTTAAGAACCACTGTAAGAAAACCAGACCCACTACACCCATTTCATTATAGTTATTATAGAGCCAAGAGTCTAGTGATTAAGACCATTTTTTTTTTAAAATCTTTATTTAAGTACAGACAGCAGCGCACAACAGTGTCAGCGGGTACATTAGTAGAATAATTATTGTTCAGGACATTGCATTCAAATGTCTGGTGTTTCACAAGATAATTGGAGGGGACCCTCCAGAGTAAGTACAGAGTAAATGAACACTACAATATGCTTTCCCCTTTAATAGACACGTTGTATGATTTTGGTATATAAAATCCATAAACACTTAAAAATTAACACCGTGCCCTTGAATAAGTAAAAAACTAAAATATTAAGTCAGTAGATACAAGTGCTTTGATTGTCTGGGATGAAAATGATAAACACCAGGAAATTGTACGACCATTATCAGACAGGAACTATAACAATTTAACAGCAGAATGACGCACATCATATTTTAAAAATTTGTTTCAAATATTGTTTGTGAAAACAAACCTAATACCCTAAATAAAAATCAAAGGGTATTTCCTATGAATCACTACCTAGACGTACTGTGCATCACTACAATAACATCTATAACACAGCTTCTGATGTTTTTGGTTTAAATGCAAACATGTCCATTAAAGTAGAAAACCCTTACATCAAATACGATTTAAAGGAACACTGTAGCATTAGGAATACAAACATGTGCATTCCTCTACCTATAGGTGGAAGGGTTGAATGGGGAGGGAGACTGCTTGTGTGTTTGTATGTGTTGGGGAAGCTGCATGTCAGTTTAAATGTGTGTGTGTATTGAGTGGTTTGTGGTATAGTCTATGTGCACGTGTAGATAGGAGCTATATTTTGGATATGGGTTGTGTAGATTGTGGTGCTTGAAATGCAGACTCTAGTGTGTGTGGGGAGAAGATGAATAAGGTAACAGTATAATGTGTGTTTGTGGAGGGGACAGTGGCTGTAGTGTGGGGAGATAGGGGCTGTAGTGTGTATTTGTGGAGGGACAGGCTGAACTGTGTGGGTGAGGCTAGGGGCTGCAGTCTGGGGGAATAGGCTGTAGTACATGTGTGATGGAGGTGGGGACAGGGTCTGTGGTGTGTGTCAGGTAGATATGTGCAGCAAATGTGTAAAGGAGCTAGATAAAACAAAAAAACAACAATATTGACTTTAAAAAAACTAAAGGTTATTTCCCTCTTTTTATTGTCCCAAAAAAGGGTGATACTAATTCCTGATGGGTGGAGCTCCTCCCTCCTGACAAAAGTATTAGAGTGTTACCTGGTAATGCTTTGAGCTCTGCTGCCTGTCTTGGATCATAGCCATCCAGGCCCACAAGCCATTGGATCGGTTTGCCTAATGGGCAGTCAAGACCTGCTAGCAACAGCTGTAGGAAATAGGCATCTTCTCATGCATCATTAAAGTTGGTCTATACAGGATCCCGGAGTCAAATGCCAGAACTGAAAAATGCGCATGCTGTGTTCCTGCACAGCAACAGCGTTTCAGCCAATCAGGTAATCAGGAGAGCCGTGCTGAGCGAGGGAATCCTGATTACCTCAGATTTTTAAAATGGCATCATTGATGGAGGACTCCATATCTGTGGCAGACACAGATTTAGTGGATGCCTCTCTTAGAGGCAGTCACATCAATGGTAGAAAGCTCCATAAGAGAGCTTTCCTTGCCAGGGATCTATCCTCTTCATCTTCTGAGGAGGATATGGTCCCAGTTCAACATAAAAAGAATAAAGAATTGTGGTTGGTCTCTTCTGCCAGTTCCTCATCTGAGGAAAAAAATTCTGCTCCTCCTTCCCCTCATACTCGTTTGAGTAAGCACAAAATTAAAGGGACAGGATCCCAAAAGAGGAATAGTGTGTTTCCCTTGTTTGAGCACCAGAAACACCTTCCAGAGAAAAAGGATAAATCTCGTTGGAGGTTAGATAGTCCTTCTCCATCCTCTTCTAGAGCATTTGCGCATTCCTCCTCTCAAAGCCAATCCTGTTCTAGACACGACTATCCAGAAATAGTTGCTGAGTGGTCCATTCAGCAACTTCCACTAAGCGAGGGGAACATAGCAACGTTCAGATGGCTAGAGTGAGTCTCCTAAGAAAGATTCTCCCATCAAAATGATTTCACTCCAGATGGGCTATGGAGTACGATTTTGAAGTTAGAGATTTTGTCAAACTAGCCTTTAGATCCCCCTTGGTTAAGAAGGAGGACCTTCTCTTCAGAAAACACATTGGTGTCCCGAACATCTAGGTTGTAATGGCCTGACGTAGATCCTGCTCTGTTATCTATCACAGGGAGTACTGTATCTATAGATCCCACAGACCTGACTTTTCGTAAAATACAGTTTAAAAATACTGATGCTGTAGGCCCATTATTACTGATGCTGGATAAAGCAGAAAAAGAAGGCAATGCTCAGAAACCTTCTGCTTCATCTTTGCTGGCATCTAAGATGTCTTTATTAAAAGCGTCCGGCAGGGCAGTGCTAATTATTGGCCAATCCTTTAATTACATTTCAAACTTCAGAACCCGCTGGCTCCACACAGCAGGAATGTCTGACCTAGTTCCCAAATTTGGAGGATTCTTACCTTTTCGGTCCCTCGTTCATTCAGGAGGATAAGGCAAAGAGATCATTTTGAGAGCTCAAAAAATCCTTTCCTGGCTACAATAAGCCCTTTCAAATAGATGGTTGCCCCCATCGGGCTGCAGGAGAGTCCCAAGAAGCAGCTCACCAGGCCCAGTACCACCACTACAGTAAAAACATAGGCTCCCAGGCAGTGGCAGAGGAGCTCATAGCAGAGGTGGTCCAGCTTCCAAGAGAAAACCTATGCATTCAAGTAAGTGTGCTTCTTCACACCCCATTAAATTGGAAGGATATTTCTTCAGACAAATGGGTTGTAAAAAATGTTGTCAAAGGGGTTTACAACTCCCCTTTTTAAGGTTCCCAGTTCAGAAGTTGGCACCCAGCAGAGAGGTGTACCCAGTGCTAGATGCCTCCTGTTCTCTAGCTTTTAATCAAGGGAAGATAGATTGGTAGACATGTCTATCACAGGATGGGTCAGTCCGTTGTTCCCAATCCCAAAATCAGACGGTTCCTGGACACCAGTTCTAAATGTAAGGTCTCTGAACGCTTTCATCAAGAGAAAAAGGTTCAGGATGCAGGGTTTAACAGATCTTCCAGGCTTAGTACAGAAAAAAAAAATTCTGCATAAAGTTAGACCTAAAATGTGCCTTCTATTCAGTCCCTATAGACAAGAAACACAGTCGTTTCCTCAGGTTTTCAGTGGAAAGGAAAGGTTTGGCAGTGGACTGTTATGGTGTTTGGCCTATCCAAGGCACCATACACATTCCCCAGAATAATAGTGATAGCCCATGTCAGACTAAAAAGATACATGTGTCTGTACTATCTAGACGACATCCTGCTAATGCACCCAGATGGGGAACTACTTGCTTCTCAGAGGGACTATCTTGCTTCCCTTTTACAAGACCTAGAATTTGTAGTGAATTTACAGAAATTAGTCCTAATACCCACTCAAAGCATTCTCTTTCTAGGATTTGTACTGAACACCAGGGCTATGTCACTAGAAATCCCTCAGGACAAATTATTGGTACATCTGACCTCTCCAGAGTTGGTCCTTGAGAGATCTGGCAAAGATTATCGGGAAATTACTGGCTTTAACACAAGCCTACAATGATTTCCCTTTACTTTGCAGAAGTCAGCTTTCTTTAGGGAATCGATTAAGACAGGATGGCAATTGGGAGTCAAAATTATTTCTCCCCAAGAAGGTCATAGAAGAGGTGAAGTCTATTCTGGGGTTAGAAATCCCACTTCCTCGTCACCTGTTAGAGCAGCCGTTTGCGGTTACTCTTACGTCAGATGCCTCAAATCACGGTTGGGGTGCGTTTACAGCCCAAAACAAGATAAGAGGAATTTGATCAGACCAAGACAGACGTCTTCATATAAACATCTTTGAGTTAAGAGCAATCAAATTAGCTCTTCAGGGTCTGGTTCCTCCTAAACCAGTTACCAACGTCGATAAAAATCCAATTGGACAAAAGGACAGCAGTGGCTTATATAAACCACAGAGGGGGCACAAGATCAAGGGGTCTTTGTTTGGAGGCTCTAGATCTTTGGTCTTGGGCTTTAGCAAACAAACTTCAGGTTTAGAGGGAGAGGCGAACAAGCTCACAGATTTTCTCTCTCACCAGAGTTTGTCTCTGGCAACAGTTCAATTAAAGATTGTTCTATTCCAACGGATAGAAACCAATTTTGGCCAGAGACAAGTCGACCTGTTTGCATCCCAAACTTCTGCATAAACTCCCAGGTTTGTCTCCAGGATTTGGACAAAGGGAGCTTGGAACATGGATGCACTGTCTTTCCAATGGACAGACTTTCCAGCCCCTTATACCTTGCCCCCTCCATCTTTACTGATGAAAGTGCTGGAGAAGATCCGCAGGGACAGGGTACAGAGTTTAGTTCTCATTTACCCAGTATAGACCTCCAGACCCTGCTACCCCTTGATCCATCAGTTAGTCAAGGGAACCAATATTCCATTGGGCATGACTGTAGACTGCCTTAGGGAACCAGCGATCTTTTGCTCAAGCTTCTGCAGCAGATGTGGATCGAAGCACTGGTAGGCTGTTAATGAATCCCCTTTTATTGGATCAGGTCCTGGACATCATTAATTTATCTTTAAGACGCAGAACAAGGGTAAAATATAGAAATATGATTGAGGAATTCAAAGAATAGGAGGTTTCTTTTCTATCTACTTCTCAGGGATCTGATACCATTCCATTGGCTTTAGAATTTCTTACCCTTAAGTTCCATTCTGGTTTAGCGGTCAGTACCATCAAGACCTATGGATCTGCTTTAAATTTCCTTATCCCTAACCTTACTCAGGACGCCCTGTATTTGAGATTACTAAAAGAGTTATCAGCCTGCCGCCCACATATTCCATGTTACACATCTGCTTTGGATGTAGACCTCTTATTAAATTTCCTTAATTCTTTGGATAATGCTAAAATTGATTTAAAATGAACTGCTATTAAGTTGGCTTCTCTGCTCTCTTTGGCCTTGGCAGCTAGAGGAGCTACGTTAACTCAAATCCATATTTAAGAACCATGGTTGTCATGGACCCCAGTAGGGTTCCATATTATACTAAAAGGGAGACTAAAAAGGTCCCATATTTCCCCAGGTCCAGTGGAATTGGATTTGGTTCAAGATCCTTCTAAACCAAGCGTATGTTTAGTCAGTCTGTTACAATCGTACCTTGACCTTTCTTCTGCTATTAAAAATTATATAAGTCAATTATTTATTACTTCAAGGAATCCCTTTTGTCCAGCCAAGGTTAATACAATTAGAGGTTGGATACTTTCCGCCATGTCTTCGGCTAATATTGATGTGTCTGTGTTCAAAGGCCACTCAATTAGGGGCGCCTCGGCTACTAAAGCAGCAGCAAAGGGCCTTCCCCTCACTATTACCTTGAAAGCTGCAAGGTGGTTGTCCAGTATTTATGGCCTCCAAATTTTACTGGAGGCCATGAGAAGTTGAACGCCTTCAGTTCAACACCATCACCAGTTGTGTGCTATTCTACCCATTAGCTTTGCTAGGTGGTTATGCCTCCCAGAGGACAAATCAGTGTTTGCAGTAATATATGATCTGCAAACTTTCTTTATCTTAGGGATGAACCTAACCACCTAGCAATAGCGCCTGTCCCACCCTCCGGGTTTTTTGTCTGCTGGTGGTAGTTTGTTTTTCTTTACATAATGTTATCTTGTGGTTATTCAACCTATTTTTAACTGCTTTTTGTTTTTACAGACTATATCCGTACTCCAGGACAAGACCAAAAAACCAAGAATCCACCTAAGAAGGAAGATTGGATGCTAGTAGTATCTACAATATGGAATTTCCAGATTTTACTATTAACATGACGTAAAGTCATGATTTTATTAATGACATGAAGGCGAGTATTATGCTTTCTCTTTCCTTTATTTCCCTCAGCAGCGAAAGAGAGATGTATACAAAAGAGAAAATAACATAATATAGCATAGCAACAGTGCTACCAATCAGCATCTAGCACCTAATATATAAGGTGTAGCACTCCATAACTCTTCCTCTTAATGTAGCGATCCGAAGACCAGTATTAACCGACAAACAGTAAAACCGAACTGTAAAAATTTTGAATCTAGATAACTAGAGGGAAAGCCTCTCTAGTTAATATATAAACTGCGCAAATAAATATATTCAAAGGACAAAGCCATGTGTACCAACAATACCAAACCAAAAATAGTGTTTAGAAAAAAACAAACAATTAAAAATTTAGTAGCACCTAG